AGGGCCACAAAAATGATCAGAGGGATGGAGCACCTCTCTTATGAGGAAAGGCCGAAAGAGCTGGGACTGTTCAGCCTGGAGAAGAGAAGGCTGCGGGGAGACCTTATTGCAGCCTTGCAGTACTTAAAGGGGGCTTATAAGAAAGATGGGGACAGACTTTTTAGCAGGGCCAATAGCGACAGGGCAAGGGGTAATGGTTTTAAACTAAAAGAGGGTAGATTCAGACTGGATATAAGGAAGAAATTTTTCACAATAAGGGTGCTGAAACACTGGAACAGGTTGCCCAGAGAGGTGGTAGATGCCCCATCCTTGGAAACATTCAAGGCCAGGCTGGATGGGGCTCTGAGCAACCTGATCTCATTGTAGATGTCCCTGCCATTTGCAGGGGGGATGGACTAGATGGCCTTTAAAGGTCCCTTCCATCCCAAAGCATTCTATGATTCTATGAAGTTATTACTTGGAATTGACCTCTGGAGACATCTAAGCTCTGGTCTGAATGGGGGCAGGAAAACTCCAAAGTTAGATCTGTTTGCTCAGGCCCTGAGCAAACAATCAAGCAGTCTTGTTCTGAGAGACAAGGAGAAAAATTCAAACCATGTCCTTCCCCTTACTACTCTCCAAACCTCTCTCATGTTTGGCAATGTGAGAACACAGAACAGCAACTTCAAGAGTCCCTATCTCAATATCCTCCTCTTTCATTTCAAGCTAGCCTCTCTTTTCCTTATCACATTTCTACCCATGACAAAAACCTTATTTCTTCTTTCTGAGCTTTATCCCTCAAGACTTCCTACTCCCCTCAGCACAATTCCAAGATCTCTTCCCAAGCCCTTGGTCTCTCCTCAGTGCAGGAAGTAGATTTTTTTTTTCCTTCTTTCTTTACACTCTGTATCTCTGCTCATGAAATTGTATTAAGTAACTGAATTATTATATATATTGCATCAAATATTTTATCTCTACCCTCTCCTGACATCTTCAAACTCAAAAATTGTCTTGCAGTGTTGCATAATACTAAAATTTACCACAAAATTGTAATGGACTTAATTTTAGCACAGCTTGTATAATTCATGGCTTTAGCCCAACTATGCATGACTCCAGACTGGGAATCCAAGAGACACTGTTCTCCAACATATGTTCAAAATAACACCCATCCAATGTAAGGTTTTAGCGAAGGCTAGGTGTCCCCCATACAGCAGCGATGAATTTTACCTACATCCATTCTCCATTTCTCCAATTCTGTTAATTATCTGTTACCTTATAAACATCAAGTATTATTTGTTGATTTAGTAGCAGAGTTCATAAATGCAGGTCCTATGGAATGGGATGCTAAGACAAATCCTTCCAAATTCACAAGGAATGCTAGTGCAAGTGGCACACAAGAAATTATTCTTCCCAATTCTTCAATTAATATATTTTGAGACTACCAAAAGAACTATTCAAACACTGTGCTCCTGACACGAAGAGAGTTTCAGATTTACAACAGACTTACAGACATAATGTTATCAGTAAAGATAACGTTTCTCCATACCCAAGCTGTGTCCATTCTTTGTGTAGAAGCAGGTATTATTGATAAGGTTGACACAACAGCCAATGACATCACCCGTAGTAAACGTTGGCCCGTAGGGTTGTCCAGTTCCAGAGGAACAGAACGAATGTCCATCATCTCCATGGTAACCATATGAATGTTTATCCCAACCTAGAGAACAAAAGCATTTGCAATTTATTAGTTTGCTTTATTACGAAATAATGGAAAGAGTATGCAAAGTTAGTATATTCTAACCAGGTTAATACGGTTAATTACTATGCTCAGCTTTCTGCTTTCTAAGATTTCTTATCTAATGAACAAATTGTTTCATTTAAAGAAATGGCAACTTCTTTTATCAAAATGGCTGAACAGGTACATGACAGGTACTGCAAATTCAGATAACACATTCTTCTCTTTAAGTGAACACACAAAATTACCAACACCAAAAATATAATCAGCTACAACTTTGAAATTTGAAAAGCTATATGCAGATCTGACATATCCCAATAAAGCAGTAAAGATTCTCCTGTTCTTCCTTTCATCTTGCAAAACTATTGCTACCATATGTCATAATCAAATTCTTCCTGGCTAAAACCCAAACATGCATCTCTGGGGAAACACATTTCTACTCCTGATTATTCTCAATGACTATTCAGCAGCAAACAGTCTCTGCGCAATAGCAGAATCTTCAGACTATAGTGTCATTAGCTTTGCTGCCCCTAAAAAAAAGGGGGGGGGGGATATTATCAATACAGGTGAAAGTCACAGCCAGCAGGCAAATCATTATGTATGCAAATATGGTGCTAATTTTGCAGGTGAAGAAGCTGCAGAAACAGTTAAGAAGCTTCATATTGTTACACTAGTCAATGAAATTCACAGCAAGCAATTTTAGTCTGAGCTCATTTAAAAAGACCTGTCCACACTCTCTGTAATTCAATACTAAACAAAAACACATAGAAAAGGAGTACACTCTCAGACACCACAGAATCTTCCTCGTAGATCTATTAAATGCCTATTCAAAATAATATAAAGCATGACTTTAACACAAATAGCCAAATTTCACACACAGACATATATATACACACACACACACGAGCATTCTGACTATAAGAATTTATACTGACAACTCAAATTATTTTTAAAGAGTAAAAGGTTGTGGGTTTATTCTTCTCTCAAGCTGCTGCCTAATAGGTTAATTTGACAGTATTTTCCATACTTAGGTCCTTAATCTGTATGATCAGTAGCTTCAGCTGGCACCACATTAAGCATCTCTCAGTAAATTAAATACCCTAAATTACTGCAGTTACATTGATTAGTACTATCTTTGATAATTATTTGCAATGCATCCTAAATCATACTCAAAATAAACCTAGTGCCACCCACTAATAATTCATCACCCTTAGTTGGGCTCACAGTGTAACTGGGATTTGCCATCATCGTAAGGATCTCCACCAGAACATCTGGGTGAGAAAGTAACAATGCAAAAGCAAGAGAGTACAGATACTCTCAGGTCAATTCAACATGATGTTATACTTGGCTAATAGTAACAATTTCTAAAAAGTCAGGGGTTTGTTTGTTTTGAATATTTAAAGATATATTAAAAAACCCACATGTACACACACAAAACTTCTTTAAATACTATACAGAGATACTGCAGACAGTTGTTAACAAGACAGCATCCCTGACTATGCAGCTCAGTGGAACAGTCAAAACTTAAAACTACGCTACACATCCTTACTATTGAGGTTGGAAAGGTAACAGTAAAGAAACTGACAGTAGGAGAGCTCACTCCATGTTTGACAGAAAGTCTTTATCATAGTAGCTCATCTTTATTGCTAGAAATTCAGTTTACAGAGCAAGGAAATAGCTTCATTTTTATCAGGGAACACGATGAAAATTTTAAAATTTGTTTGTTTTCTAAAAAGCATCTGCATAATGTTTTAAGTAACACTAAGCGTTGAGGGAAGTAGTACAGGAGCAAACGTACAGTAAAAGCTAAACTTTTTAGCCGCAAACTTTACGTAATTCAGATAACAGATACAACATACAGATGTCATGCTACACTCTCTGTTGCTTACCAGAACCTTCCTGTCAAGGTCAAGCACATTTTAAAAGACACAATTAATCAATGTCAGTCACTTATCAAACATAATAAATACTGAAACATACCTGGTAGTCTGTTCATGTTCACACCCTGTGCTGAAAGCCCAATTCCCATGTAACTGTAAAAATGAAAGAACAAAAAAATAAATTTATCTGTCTCTTACAAAAATATATATATATGTGGGATACTGCCAAGAAACACTATGCTGATTAATCATATACCAAATAAGCTGCTGAGAGGTCATTTAATAGTGGCATAACAGCAAGGGAACCAAAAAGTAATTCCTAGCATATACGGTTTAATACAGACAGAATCTGTCCCTGCAGGAGGTAAGGACAACTTTCTTCTCTTTTAGGCATCCTGGGTTATCGATAGAGAATACTGATATTAGCCATAAAGTTTAAATCATGAACGAAGAAAAAGGCCGTGCCTTATTTTGAAAGTAGGGGTAAAGCTATACACATACCAATTTCATCATCTTCAACATACCTAATCATGTTTTGCAGACAATCTGGAATGAGTAATTTTACAAAATAAATGCAAAACTGCATTTTTTCAGCAGCAAAATGCATCCTTGCACAGCACTTACGAAGAGATCACACTAAACCATTAAAGGCCTGGATCATAGAGTAGAATGCTACCTTGAGAAATTTACCAGCAAGGTTACTCAGCTGTCGGCAATCTGTTGGCAGACTAAAGAGGGAAAATATTTTTACTATACTAACCAGTAATCTTAAGTCTAAATAAGTTATGGCTAGGTCAATAAAGTCCAAAAGTCAGCTTTACAAAAAGGTAGTTTTAATAAAGTCAGTGTCTAGTACAATTGTTAACAATTTAATAGCAAATACTGAAAAGTTGAAATGAATGATCTCCCCACCCCCAAATCACACTATTTGAAGTTAGTAAAATCAATTTTGCTTCTGTTTCTTAAGCAAAAGTCATATCATGACCAAGATGACAGGAATCCAAAAAGAGAAACAGCATAATGAAAAGCTAGGCTTTCACCAATCCCCCCCTGCCCAAAATAAAGCAACCCCACCAACAACAACTAAAGACAGCATCCAAAAAAATCACCTAAAATAATTTCCTAGTTTATCAAAACATTCAAATAATTTTGACACTAGTTCAAATTAGTTAACATAAATTTGTCATTAAATAATAAATAGACTGTATAAAAAAAAATACTCACCCATGCCAATTTGAAAATAGTTTAAGTCAACAAACATGACCTTTGTATTCCCATCTCATAAAATGCAATATTAAGCAACTATTCTACTAGGAAGTACAGGTTAATCCGCTATTTTAAATACATTTCACATAGAATGAAACTGAGCAGCAAATCTCAGAAGTCACATGCTTAATTGTGTACTGGGCTTTCTGCTTTTTCTGTTGATCACTTCCAACAGTTACCTTACCTGCTTCTATGTTTGACATTTACAAAGCCCTCCTCTGATAATTTCTAATGTATGATACCATCTTCCTCTCCCTCCACGATACCAGCATGAAATGGAACCTCAGAACCACATATAGCAGATATTACATTTAGAGATACTGGAGAGCTGAAGCAAAGGGCAACAAACAAAAGGATTAGTCTTTGCTGCATTGCTAGTTACATTACTGAGGCATCACTGCAGCAGCAGAGTCAATGAAACAATTATAAATGAAAGCAACAAGTGGAAAACCCTTGATTTTGTCTTAAATAATAAAGGTAGAGTTGTTTTTAGCATAGTCCGGAGTTTGATGCATGAAGCATTCTCATGTAAAGACTGAAAATCTGTTACTGTAAAGTCTCCTGTTAAGGAGAATTTAGAGAATGGAAATTTATTTTTGAAAATAATTTTAGATAACTTAAAGAACTCCACCGACTGCAAAAAAGCCTTTCAACGTGAGTCATATTAAAAAAACCCTTCACCTCAATCAAAGTTTCATTTCAGTATTCTTATAGACACAAGATGAAGGTTACACAAAAAATGTAAAATGTTAGATAGAAAATCATCATCTAGGCAACATTGTGGTACCACCTGTTTTTTCTCCCTTAGATATCATACAGTCTGAGCCTCCTCTTTGACTTAGTAACAATTGTAAACATGGACCCACTGTATTTAATACAGCTGGGAACAAGGATTCTTCACCCACTGGCAATGACTAGAAGGCACTAGGCACTGACACCATCTCAGTAAGAAGACGGATGTTCAACAGTGTATATTTTTCGCCAGGATTCACTTATAACTACTTGCAATGTTAACACCATTTCATCAAGGAGACTTGGTATTAATAGAAGCTCAAGTAGTAGTAGATTGAAACATTTCAAATAATTAACACCTTTACTACAGACATCTTTCAAAAGGAAAAAGGAATGTCTACAATTTACGGTTTGGAAGTGAGTGAAATTAAAGGCTCATCAAATTAAGCTAATTTATTATTTGTTATAGTTGATGGATAGCTAATCTCGTGTTCAACTAGATATAGCACACTATAAAATGAGGGGGGAAAACAGTACCATGACAGATAAGCTTTATATGCTCTAAAATTCATCAACAGGAGTTGTATTTATGCCAAACCACTACACGTAACTTTTTTTTTCTTTTCCTGACACCTGTAAGCTTCGTAGGCTTAAAAAGACTTCTTTGTTTGGTTTTTAATGAATATTTAGGCCCATATTTAGGTCCAGAGTCATCGTTTGCAAAAAGACTTGCTTCAGTGGGAGGAATTACATAAATTGTCCTCCTGTTTGCTTCCTTAAGGTTCACATATCACGCGCCTCAGAATCAGAAGAACCGTGGCAGAGCCATGCATTTCAGTTTTCCTCCCTTAGTCCCCGATAAAAACGCAGGGCAGCACAAGCAGCAGACATGCTAGCACCCAGGTGCAATGCAGGCCCAGACTGTTTGCAGTCAGTTCATGATGCATTTCCTGCTGTCCTGTCACACAAATGGGTTTGGTCTAGGAGACAGCCACAGGCGGGAAGAACGGGTCCACTTAGACTATGTCACACCATAACAGCAGCCCTGGGGAACACAGAGGTGTCAACACCAGGAAGCAGCACGCTCCCTCCAACATGTAGCACCTTCCAAAAATGGACATGACACAGCACGGTTTGAGAGATGGGAGAGGGTGAATACTGGTGTGGTTCTGATGCCGCCTCCCTCATCACTTCCCTCTGTACCTGGGGACGGTGCCTCCACCTCAGCTCCCTGCCCGTAGACATCCCTGGCTGCTGTGGTGGTAGGATCACTCACCCAGGCAGACGGAAAGCAGCGGCCTGGGACCCTTTATGTTAAGAAGCCCCTCTCTCTGAGCATTTTGGTCCCACCGATTGCTACGCATCACCTCATTGAAGTGCCCAAGTCTTACAGGAGCTCATAAAATTGCAAACAACATGTAAAACCACTCATGGAAAACATGAAATCAACTGATAAGAGACTGAAATAAGAGACTATGGCTGAAAACCGATTTAAAGTGCAGCCAAATTGGTATTAAGGACCAAGAAAGCAAGCACATCTTACATACTCTTGCTTTTTCATTTCAAATTGTATTTATTCTTGTTCCAGTTCATTAAAGACATAGATTACCATTTTAGTGCCTCAGCACATCTTACATTTCACAACGGCAAGCCATACAGAAATTTTTAGGGATACTACAAAACTAGAGAGTTTAAAGTTTGCTGAATTTTCAACTTTTTGCCAAAAAGCAAAAAAAAAAGTCAATGTCAAAAATACAGGCACTATGATACCTATTTTTTTCCACTAACACACACTGAAAAGCCTAGGCTTCTCTGCAGTGGAATAAATAAGAAGCAGCAAGCTCGCAGTAACTCTTTTCTTTTCAAGTATCTTTCCAGTCAAAGAGCTAAATTCACATTTTTGCTGGAGCCTAAAGTTTCTACTTGGATGCTTGAACAGACTAAGTGTGAGAAATAAAAAAAACAGAACCAAATAGAAGGAAAAAATAGCAATAAGAGATGGTACAGAACTGGAAACTGCTAAAACATAAGGAAAAAGAAAAAAACCCAGCAATTCATATAAAAGATACACAATTCTGATTTTTACTTGCAACTGTTCCGTTAGATCTTTTGGCCGCTGTATTGAAGGTGTATGGAAGATCTCTCAATATGGAAGTTGATAATAATCAGAATTCGGGTTAATTATATCCTATCCCACCCATTCCATAAAGAGGAATACAGAATCTCAAAAACTATACCAAATCACAGGTACCTTAGAAGGCTTACTAGTGGCTAAAGATAAATTTAAGTTCTAAATAACCAATTCTCTAGTTAAAAAACAAAACTACAAAAATATCCCGTACTGTATTTGTAAAGACAAGTAAAGTAATTTAACATATCTTTAAGTAATGAAAAAAACCCTAACAGCTTCGCTACCACAGAGATTTCATTAGCAACCTGTTATCTGCAGAGAGTCAAATTCCTTCTGACTTTCACTGTGCCTACATGTTCTATTAAAGACGGTATAACCCATGGAACTGCTACATCATGCATCAAAATCCAAGCTCTTTTGGCGATGATGAAAGTAAATAATCAACCTGGTATACTTATCACCGACATGTTATACATTTAAAGAAAGAAACTTCAATCATATGGTGTTAAAGCCTAAGTTACCATAATATCTGTAAGGAACCCAAGTCCAAGCACTAACAGATGTTTACACCCATAACTAAGGCAACCGAAAACATCCTAATGTTTCAAATGCATTGACTACTACGAAAAGTTGAATTAACACTGAAAAAAACACAGGCTATACAACAAATGCAGTTTCTTTTACTATCAAGTTTGTATCTCAGAAAAGGGTACAAGTAGAAAAAACTGCAACATCTAAGAATTTTAAGACTAAATGATCTTCTAAAGGGCCTTCACAACTGACTCGCAAGGATGTAAGTTTGAATATTGTTCTATAGTTTTTCTACACTGTCTTCACTGACACTATACTATAAGGTCAGAAATACAGCACACTAAAAAGGTATCTAAATTTCATCTTTAATATAGTTACTCCGCATTAAAATTTTGTAGGAATATGCTAATCCAAGATTCTTATTGTCTGCACAATCACAATAAGAAATGAGCTGTTAAATTTTTCTCTATTTAAATGTTTCAAAATATGCCAT